TGGCGCTTGTAGTGTTACTACACAGTTTCGACATAATAAGCGAGTCTAGGCATAGACATCAGAGGTGCCACCAGCATTCTCGCTAAGAAAAAGAAGTGACTCGAAATGAAAGCCTAAGCAAACGAACGTTATCGGGAACTAGCAATAAAATATGGAGCAGACATGAAAGGTGTACATTATGAAGTAAGGTCAACCTACAGAAGACGCTTGAACTTGTGCCAGAAGGATTGTCTCAAACTCCCGATAAATCTCCCACAGAACAGCACCCTTGGCGAAATTGAGGCCCTGATTAGCTAGCGCCAGCTCAAAAACGGCCCTCACAGCTGCAATACGCTCCGGCTCGCCGGAGCCCATGCCACCGATGGCAAACTGGCAATACTCCAACCAGACGTCCACACCTGAAACAGCGCGGCACAACGGCATTAGGGAACGAGGGAGAAACTGGCAAAATGACAGCACTCAGAAAAGAGACACGCCGCTGTACTTACTCTGGTAGTCCGCCACAGCTCTACGGAAGAGGTCTTCAACACCGCTTCTATCGGCACCTTCCAGTAGGAGAGAGGACTCATCCTTGATCCATTCTAACCAAAGTTCTAAACGTACAATTAGCTGTGATACGAGGAGGCAGACCTGGAGTGAGAGGGAAGAGGGAGGCCATTTTCTCCCTTGCTGCTCGTAAACGATCCAAGTCACCGGCCTTTTTGAGCAGATTTATCAACTGCACATGCACGTCGTAAATGAAAGGATCCGATTCCAACTACACACAATAAGATTTTAGTGAGAAGTGTGAAAGAAGGTACCTGTGAACTCAGTGCTTGGATTTCTTCTTCCGAAACTTCAACTTCGTCATCAGAACTGTCGTCAGAGGATTTTGAGAATGACATTTTTACTAGAAAGTCCAAAAAACATATGCAATTGTAGCAACGAAAAATAAAAGATTTAGAGTCGGATGCCGACGGAAAAAAAAGAGTAACAGCTCCCTAAACTATGTGGGTCAAAGTGGACAAACTGGGTACTAAGTTAAACGAACATTAAATTACCGTCCCAGGAGACGATATATAATCGTTTGGCCTACTCAAAGGCTGGGGCAAACATATACACTCAATTTTAGTTTCACGTTGATATCCAGGCAAGCAACTAGAAAGCATGCGTGGAGTCATCTGGCTGTGAGAAACCAGCCACACACCGTTAAAGAGA